TGTTTGGTTTTGTTTCTAGGGAAACAACATTTTTGAGCAGTTGTCACCAGAAGATTATCGCGCAACAATCAAGGTTTTAGAACATGCTATCTTGTCTACAGACCTTGCTTTATATTTCCAGTAAGTTTTATTTGCTATATGGACTTGCAATGTAGCGATAAATATGCCTTATTACAGTCGAGCCATGTCAATCGTATCCCCCAAGATTCCATTAATGAATCGGTTATTTGAAAACAACCAGTATCAAATTCAAATTTGCGTTCCTGCATGCGTAATGAGCAGGGAATTTTTGACGATAACTTCTCTGTATTTGGCCTGATTGGAAAATCTTTGAATTGAGAGAATTGCTTTGAAGCCAAGTGATTTGAATCAAGATTTAAGAAAACTGAGCTGGTAGAAATTTTATAACTGCCTTGCGTGAGATTCACAACTCATTATGCGTGCTGGAATGAAGAGATGAATCTAAATCCACAACTACCAACGGATTCAATTTTTGAATAATAAATTTAAAAGAACGCTTGACCTGGCGTGACTGTAAAGTCTTTGTTGATTAACCTCTACAGAAAGAGAGGCAACTTTGAGAAAGTAGTTCATTCAGAATCAGCTGATTGGACAGTGGACGGTAACCGAGAGATGTTAAGAGCGATGATGATGACAGCGTGTGACGTAGCAGCCATCACTAAACCGTGGGAGATTCAACAAAAGGTACGTTCGATCAAGGAAGCACATTTTAAATTTGCCTAAAATTTTTGTAACGTCTTTTGTGTTTCTATTCTTGAGTAAACTGTAATTGTAAGCTTACCTCTTTCATTGATTTATTCATTCTTTTGCCTTTAAACAGGTGGCTGAACTGGTTGCTAGTGAGTTTTTTGAACAAGGTGACATGGAAAGGTTTCAACTAAACGCTGAACCTATTGTAAGTAAAACCGTCTTTGACTTAATATACCTTGCCTGTATTTCTGTAAACAAAGACGCTGCCTTACTCGAGGTTTGCATTGACAAAATGGAGCGATTTTGTATGAAGTTGTCCACCCATTCCTCGACTTCTCCTTTCCTATACTACCCCTGGGTCGAGTTGTTCAAAGCTGGGTTCAGATAACCCAGGGTTAGTGCGAAATTTGAATTCAGGTTTGAAAACTTGAAAAGCAAATTTAGTTTAATTCTTTTTATCGACAACATGATGATTGAATAATCTTTAAAAAATAGAGAAAATTTTCAGAGAAAATGCTTTCGAATAAAAGAAAAAGAAACCCGGAATAAAATTAAACCTCAGGCTAGCGTTAATCGCTCTTCGAATAACTGGGCCCTGGTCTTTCTGCTGTGTATAGCTTCCGCGGGGTAGATTCTGAGAAACTGCCTACCTACCCGTCCGCAAATTAAACCTGACATTACAACTATTTATTTCTTACTTAGGACGAAATGTTGCGCTAGGGGAGGGGTAGGTGGGTGGGCAGTTTCCGAGAATCTTATAGTAATCTATTGTTTTTTTTAGCCAATGATGGACCGCAAAAAGAAGGACGACTTACCAAAGATGCAAGTGGGCTTCATTGACTTTATCTGTATGCCAGTGTACAAAGTAAGTCGTAAATGAAGTGATGAATATAGAGCGTTTTCACACGACGTCGCGTCTACCATATCGGTGTTCCAAAACAACGAAACGGCGGCCATGTTGTTGTTCCAAATCAATCATCTGAGAGTTTAACATTTATCACATGTAACATCGTTCTTTTGTGTCAACAAATTTGGATGGCTGCTGATTACGTGAGTGAAAACGTGCTACATGAATTTTATACATTGGCATCCGCCGGAATGAAGACACAATTGTAAAGAAGGCCAATACATGCGAAGTGATCAGTGAAGTCGTTAATGCTGGATTATTCGCTGTAACCTTGTTGTATGTTCAATGGACAAATTTTGAACCTGTTAAAATTTGATTCTCTAAACGTTTTCTTTTACATTATCGACATCGTTTCCTTGTAAGCTTCGATCATCTTCACTCAGCTTTGTACAACTTAACAACACGAGTTTCTCTTTCTAAAATCAGGTCTGGAATGTTCTAGGATCACGTGACTATTCTATTTTTTTGTTTTTTACTATTTCAGGTCCAAAAACAGTGCAGTAGAAATACTCTGACCGGGGCCCGGGTCAAACGTCGAATTTCACACGTGCCGAACCTACTGCTAATAAGCGCCGAACAATAGACTTTGTTCGTTAGCATTAGGTTCAGCACATGTGTGTGAAATTGGACGTTTGACCCGGTCCTAAGTGTGTGAATCTTGATTTCTTACGCAGTTATTCTATGACTTGGAACCTTGCTTAAAGCCTCTTTACGACGGATGCGTGGACAATAGAAACAACTGGCAAGCCCTGGCGGACAAGGGGAACAAAGAAGGTACAAATAAGAATGAATAAGAATTCTTCCAGCCGGCAGGGTTTTAACCACCAAATGTCAACAAAAACCCACGGAGAAATCTTTAAAAAATCTTTAAACCTTTTCACTTGGTTCGTTTATGGATAATAGTTTTGGGCGGAAACTAATTTGCGTTATTAATAGGCCATTTCGGAAAATACCATGATTTATTCTTTAAATTGCCGTTTGGGTATTGCTTCATGTAAACCTTACTTTTGCATTATTATTTGTTCACGATTTGCGCGTAAAATGCGTAAATTTGTGTAAATTTGCAAACTCAGCGTGTTAGAAAGGAAAACGGGTAATTAGGGCGCGCGAGTAAATAAAGAACCCCCGAGGAAGCCCAGCGCGTCCTGTCGCGCAGTAAATTTCTCCTTTTCCTTCCCCTACAACCTAGCCTGCGTGGCGGGCGTTTGCAGGGGAAGGAAAAGGAGAAATTAAGGCACGCGAGCACATAAGGGAGCCTCGTGGGTTTCCTCGTGCGTTTTTTGTATACTCGCACGCCTTTTAAAATCCCCGCTTCTTAGATCTTCCTCTTTCTACATCCAAACCTCTCTGCTGATTGACACCTCCCATAGAAGGGCACTTACAGGGCTTATTACAGTTACCGTTTGTCAAAACTGGCAGGCTAGATCAGCTCAGTCGTAAAGAAGATTACACTTTTCATCAGGTTTGTTTTGTCCAGCTAGATCAGTCTCCATTCCTAAATATTATGCACGACTGTTATGGATTTTATGCCAAAACTCTCCCCCCAAAAAAGCCTTCGTCATTTTCAAAAGTTCTGCCTTTTAGTAAGCGCCGTTAGTCGTGGTCACAGCGACTTAGAACCACCGCATTTTTTTAGCTCCCTTAAGAGCACATATCCGAACCTAACACCTTTTCCGGCCCCAAATATGTTTGCTTACGGAATCTTCGTTTGCATTTCGTAAACTATAATGAAGTTTAAAGGGTTTCGTTTATCGTTTGTCTCGCGACTGTGTCTTAGATATTGATCGCGACGTTTCGGTCGCGCACTTCAGCAGGTCTTCATCAGGCGATAGAGTCGATTTACTGAGTAGGACTATAATTTTTCACGTGCTACCATGGTTGTTAGTGACTGGTGAATCACGAACTCGGCTTGCTCATGGTTGGTGGGTTTCGTCCCAAAGCATTGTTGGCATTATCGCGGGAGGAAAAATGTTACCTCAGCGGGCCGCTGTGGCAGCGATCGGCTGCTGTGTTGTCTGATCGTAGGCATCCACGCAGACCTGAAAACCTGCGGTACGCGATCGAAACGTCGCGATCAGTACCTGAGTGACAATCGTGAGACAAGGGATAAAAGAAACCCTTTATACACATTAACCACGATAAACAATATCTTTCAAGACGCAAACTATGATCTTTGGATTTAAGAATTGTTAGTTAAAAAGAATGGCTCGAAAGGTTATTAACTCATGAAATCTCTCACTAAAAGTAAAACCCATACTGCCCATTTTTCAACCTTCAGCGACGGCGGGAGAAAGTCCTAGAGAAGGCAAAAAAGAAGAGAATAACAACAAGAAGAACTCAGCTACCAAAGAAGGGCATAAAACGGTAATGGAAACGTCTAATACAAGAGCTTTAACAACCGAAAAAGAGAACAAAGACAAAGAAACCAAAAAATCTAAGACGTGCAATATCTTGTAAAAAAGCATTGTTATCGAAATTTCTTCTTTTTTTAGTCAGCTCTAAGAGCGCTCTTTTTGTTACAAATTGCCTATTTTAAAAGTTTCAAGTGGCTAAAAATGTTTTTTTCTTTCATTCTTTTGTTTTACAGAAATTTCGTTAAAACGAAATGTATGGTAACCTTCCTTGATACGAAGTGTAAAGTTGTTGTTATTTATCTTGTACAATTTTATTTATGAAGAGTAAATTATTGAAGGCGTATATTAAAATATTACCACTGGATGCGGGACAAAGAAGTGTACAGGAACGATTATTTTTGTGATAAAAATTGTCTATGTTGAAGCCACAATAAACGTTTACACGTTGAAATGTCACTTTGTCTTAGGTTGTTTATATGACAACTTCCCGCCAGTCCATGCGTTGCTTTATGTTTTACAACTTCCCCCAGTGTTTAAATATCGACGAAGTTTCTAGTGTTCATAGTCAATAACATCACATATCCTCATAATCAATAACAAACCGGCTTGACTGACAGACGACCAAAAACATCGCGACTTAATTGAACAATCAGGGCCCAGTTGCTCGAAGCGTGGTTAGCGTTAACCAGCGTTAAATACCTTGACAACGTATTGGTTTTGATACTGCTTAACCAATGGTTACAGCTAACCATGCTTTGAGCAACTCAGCCCAGGTCTATAACCGGAGTTAAATACCACCAACTGACGTGAAACAACTCACTTTGACTCTGAAGAGGACTGCCGCACAGGTTGTCGAAACGTCAGTCACTGTCAACAAGCACCCTCTTAACAGGCGACGACGACGAACATTTGCCTACATTCGACAAATCGAATGAATTGGAATGATCATGGTCAAGTTATGGGACGTGTGTGCCTTACTGCCCCTCAAGTTCAAAGCTTCTTTTCGTTTTTACTGCCACTATGCCGGCCTAAAGAAGGCACACACCGTCTGTATAAGGATGCGAAGAGATGTAGTGGGTTTTCAAAGCGTTCTTCTGGTAGAACGCCTTTTCACAAAATTCACATTTAAATGGTTTATTGGGTGCGTGGATACGTTTGTGAGTGTTGAGAGTCGAAGTGAGAGTAAAGCCTTTTCCACAAATCTCACATCTGTAGGGTCTCTTACCAGTGTGGCCATAAATATGAGCTTGGAGGTTTCCCTTTTGATTAAAACCTTTTCCGCAGTGTTGGCACTTGTATAACCGTTCAGCAGAATGCGTTCTCAGGTGGTACTTGAGATGAGTCAGCTGTTTGAATCCCCGGCCACACGTGATGCACTTATGAGGCTTCTCGCCCGTGTGCGTGTATCGATGTATTTTCATGTCCATGTTTTGATGGAACCCCTTGCCACAAAAGTCGCAGACGAACGGTTTGTAGTTAGTGTGTGTTCGCAGATGAGAATTCAGGTTGGAAGTGCGGCTGAACGACTTGTTACACTTGGGACAAACGTGAGGTTTGACGGCAGCGTGAGTCAGCTTGTGGCGACTTAGGTTTCCGAGCTGACGAAATGCTCTGCCGCATAAATCACACGGAAAGGGCTTGTCACCAGTATGGATACGTTTGTGAGTGGTTAAGGTGTTGCGCCGACTAAATACCCTACCACAAACATCGCAATGGTGTTTCCTCCCTTCATGGAGTCTTGTTGTTACACTTTGACCGTCAGATGTCTCTGTGCAAGTTGCAATGATTTTTTTGCCCGAGCTTTCATTTGCCAAATAATTTCCGCTTGAACGACATTTCAATTTGTCAACTACTAACCCATTAATAACCCTTGAACATTCTCTTGCTGAAAGAACGTTTTGGGCGGTTTGTGAACCATGCTGTGAAGAGGAAGTCGAGAAAAATTTCTTCTCTCTGTCAATCCCTTCCCTAAGGTACAGAGTTGTTTTCGTCACTGGAAGTTGATGATCGTTATTGTCTAAAGCCAAGCCCTTTATGGTGTACGAATCGTCACAGGCTATATCTCTTGATGATGGTGGCAATAACCTGCTAAAATCTGGTGTAGGCTTGACGGAAGGGTATGCTCCACCGATTCTTTTGTAGATTTGTCTTATATCCGTCGTTTCAAGTTTGTCTTTTGGTTTAGTTTCCTTTGGCCTCGGTGGTATGGGATTATCGTTCTGCAAAATTGCATCAATCACTGATGTTGCAGGAGCTAATGCTTGTAAGGCTGAAATGCCGTCTAGTTCCTCATCCTGAGAGATGTTAATCCCAGAGTTTTGTTGTGATAGTCTTATAAGACAAGAATCAGCTTGCCTTCTGAAAGGTTTAGTTTCATGCAGGATCTTTGACGTTTCCTTTGAGTGTAGTTCTTTAACCTTTGTGTGCTGCATCGTTTGAACGAGACAGTCACTGTAAGGCGATGATGCGTTTTTGACATGAGGTATTGCACTATTCATCAACGTAAAGGGTTCGTTCTTAGTGTACTCAACAGTAAAATCCAGAAAGTAGTTTGGTACCCTAACGACAGGTTCTTCGTCATTCTTTAAATTCAACTCTTGCAAGTTCGCGAATAGCTCAGGTTCTGGCGTGATTAAAATATTCTTGGTTAGAACTTTTCTTTTCGGATTTGCTGACTTCCAGAGTGGTTTTTTTTGCGCAACTTTTGACGAAACGGCTGCGGCGCTACTATGTGTTTCCTCAGAAAGTCCTTGAAATGGAGATGTACTTTTCTGCAGTACTTCGTTCTTCACTTTCCACGTCTGCAAGGCTCTTAAGTGTAGCTGTTGAGGCTGACAAGGTAAACGATTTTTTTGTGGTAAACGATCACCTGCAATTGTCCTCGGTGAAGATAGTATTCCTCTTGCCGCCAATGTGTCCGTAACAACGGAATCGTCAAATGCTTGGACTTGTTTTGTTCTGTTTACTTCTTCGGCAAACATCGAGTCAGAAGCGGCTTCCAGGCACCTATCCAATAACACAGGATCTTGTTTTTGCCTTACGTTTGCTGTTTGTGAGTACCTTTCGTTGGATTTTTTGTTGCTTCGATCAAGGACATAATCAAATATCTCGAAAAAGTTGTTAAAAAATTGCTCATGCAGGCCATTCCTTTCTTGCTGAAACTCCTTTTTCTTGGCCTCCATGCCAGCAACACGGTTCGATGGTTGAGCGGGGTTATTCTCCTCGTTCCATGTGGAAGAATAATTTGGCAGTTTTTGGTTCTCGGTGGAAATTTTTTGACTGATCGCCAAATTCTTGAAAACCTGGATTGTGTTCCTGGATGTCTTAGTTGAGAACATTGAATCATCGACACCCTCGTAATAATGAATTGTTGGGATCTGAGCATTTGCCAGTCTGTTTTTGCTGTCCACAGACTCGAAAGGAACCTGGTCGGTTTCCCCATATTTCGCCATTGCGCCTTTTGAACTGATTGAAGTGTTTGGGTTGAGCGAGAAGGCAGACATAATCTTTATCTTCATTGAAGAACTCTCTTCATTAATAGGCAAGGGGCTATCGGAAGAGCAATTTTGACTAGAAACTCTGGCTTGTCCATGATATTTGCCTCGATTGTGGCTTTTTTCTCCGTTGTAATGAGTCGTTTGCGATTGATAAAGAGAAGAATAAAAACCTGGGTTATTGCCAGTACTCCGCTCACGCCTGTCGTTATGGAGTGGAGAACGCTTTCCGATTTTCACTTCATAATCAGGACCGGTTGAATTACTCGTACATTTATGTGCTTCATATTTCTTGTCAGTTAAATCACAGTAGTCTGACAGCTCTTTCCGCATGAAAGACATTTCTCTCCTTTCTTGTCGGTTACTCGAGAACTTCCCTGTGGGATTTAACAAATTGAAACTGCCTTTTAAGAGATCCAAATTGATGAAGTGACAACGACATTTTTTTAAGACTAGAGTGAATTTTGAGAGAGCACAATTAGCCATTACGAAGTTGTGCGTGAGAGAGTAGGTCGGTATTGTGTCGAACTGCACTATGGGACTGTTTTGGTGACGTTATCACTTCTTTCATCGGCCATTGAAACAATCCCATCGTGCAGTTTGACACTTCCTCTGACTTATTTCGGTTTCTGTTCAAAAATAACAGAAAAGAAGACTCAATTATAGGGGAAACGTCACCACACTTGCAACCTGCGTTTTCAATAATTACTTTGAACTGTGTACCTCTTAAGAAAAAGTGTCCTGAATGGTTCAGTTTATAGGGTTATAAATCGTAACTTTCCATACCTTGCCGTCTGATACATAAGAACACTATCCTTCAGTAACATGAGGCCAGACACATTTGATTTTTTCTGTCTATGGCGTTCTAAACGAGAACATAAAAGATAATTGACGCTTTTCCTTACTCAAATTTTTCCTGCAGTCGTCTTGCTACGATGTTTGTGTTATTTCAGTAATCTACAGGTGGCGGCGACCTATCGAAACAAAAATACTGTGTTGGTAATCCACGGCACTTGGAAATTTCTTGAATATCCATTTTCAATTAAAAAAAGTATAGCAGAAAAATGATAAGACAACATTGATCTGTTGAATCATTTATAGTAATATTGACACTCTGGTTAAAACACAGCCGTAACAAAGCCCTGCAACTATAACAACAGTACACTACCCAACCAGTAACAATTAACATGACAGACTTTGTGACGACAACTCAATTTCTAGAAACTCGCCTTTTTAATTTGTTAGTCTTTCTTTCTTTAAGATTTGTATCCTTTTGCCATTTTGTTCCGGTTTAATGATCCCAGGAGACTAAAATTTTTTGCTCTTTTTAGTTGAAAAATACACTAGTGCGTTTTTGTCCTTCTTGTTCAGAGAACATAATAGGCTGAACATAAAACAGCCAATGTCCGCTTCGTTAAAACAGTTCCATATGCCATGGTGTTTATGATGTATACGCACATACCCCTCGCTATTTTATTAAATCACTTTTCTAAGTGACCTACGCGTTAAAAACAAACGTTTTATTTAATACAAGTGATAGGACAGAAACAAAATGTCACCGCTACGAAGCTTGTTTATTTCGTAAACAATTGGCTTGGCTTCAACAGCTTGTCACATTTAATTAAAAACTGCTTTTAGTAAGAAAAAAAAAAATATTTCAAGCGTGTTTTCACCAAGAAGGTGATTTGGTAATTTTATAGAGAAGATTTTGCAATAAAAAAGCGGCCTGAAAAAGATTTTGTACGTCATACAACCAAATCAATGAGATTCACAACAATCGTGAGAACTGTGACATCTGTAGTTGGGTTGTCCCTAATGTCTTACAAAATATATGTGGCACGTCTTTGCCAGTATACCCCTGATATTCAATACAGTGTCATAAATCAGGGTGAAGGCTTTACGAGATATTAGAAGGAGATAGGAACTTAGAAAATGTTGAAAAACTCTGACGCACATGAATCTTGTTGACCAAAGAACAAATTTGAAATCCTCTTTAGAATGAACTTTTCTTAAAGTGAATTCTTCGAGAAGACATGGAAAAAGGAAGAATAATTTTCTGGTCAATCGTATTATATACGCTGATTATTCCAAATGTTTTTCAAAAGAAAGTTACCTTTTTAGATAGAAAAGCAAAACCGATATTAAATCTCACCTTAAACAAGTTCCTCCGTTTCTTGGCCATGGTACATTCGATTCGAGTGATCTTGGGTCTGAAAGGTTACCTGTTCTGTATAGGTAAGTTATCTCCTGAGTGAGGCTTGTAATTTCTGTTCGTAATGCAGTTATCAAACTAGCTATGTTGGAAAAATCATTTGTATTATGTATGAAGATGAGCTTAATTAAAACGCTCGCGAACACAGTTGCAGATCATGCATCTGTACTTAAATGTAAGTATTAATTAAGTCGTGTGACTTTGTTTTGTTGTCAAAACAAAGAATCCCATTGCCTCGTTGCAGAGCCAATGTTTAATAACAAAAACGTTTCTTTTGTTATTGCTGTCGTTTATGATTTATAGCGTTTGAAACGGTTAAAAGACTCATATGGCATGACGATAAATTGGTTTCAATTGACTTCATTTAACGGACAGATCACCACAAAGAACGTGTTTTAATCGTTTTATGTTTAACATTGGTTCGCTAATAATTAGCTTTTGTTAACATCCTTCTGCAAACGAACTCTGTTATTCTCGTAAGCAGAATAAACTCGCAATTTTTATTGAAGATTACATTTCTGTTTTGTTTTTTTAGACTCTATGAAAATGGCTTATCAGAGATAAACGTACAGATAAAGAATCTTAAAACAGAACAATTCGACAGGTGTATAAACCTTATGTTATTTACGAATACATCAAAGATAACATAATTCAACGGTGTTGTGTTGTTTTAGTTTTTTCGTTCTTTGTACGTGGAACAAGTTTTCTGCTAATAAATATAACGTGGAATGAATTCGTCCGCGAATTAGGTTTGCACAACTGATGAGTATTTTTCAACGGCATGTATCGTTCTTAGATTGGAGAGTTGTGTACCAAGCAAAATTAATTTATATGGCTACTGGCCAGTTACAGGTTCAGAAGCCAGGGCCTTTGGCGATGCAAGACTTCAAAATACCTAGCGGATGTTGTTTCATTTATTTATTTTACTTTTTACAAATTTAAAAGGTTTATCTTTCCTGCAAGAAACTTGGGAATGGAATGCAAAGTTAAAGGAAAGGGATCATCCTCCATGATATTTTTTTGCTTATCTTGGCTGAAAATTATTTTCTGTACTTAAAACTTAAATTTACCGCGGCTTCGTTAACGTGGGAAATGCCTTTTACCATGGTGTTTGTAACTGTACCTTATAGGCCCTTATATGTATGTGGCAGGATGCTGACTTACTTGTAATACTTGACCATGGTGCTCCCTTACAGATCACGTTTTTTGTATAACCATTGAAATTATTTTTCTTAGGAGATATGATTGATCTTAGTCACTTCAAATAACTGTATACGGACAATGGTTTGCTCATGCGCAACAAAGAAAAAAAAACTGTTTTGCTGTGGATAATGCCTGTTGCATCATTCAGTTTGGTCCATGTTTTCAACCCTCGCATCACGACAGTAGCGACTTTATCCAACAGGAAGGAAAGAAAGAAGAGGTCGCAACTATATATAGTGTGAGACAAACGTGACAGGGCTATAACCTGCGTGTTTTTTTAAAAAAGAAAAGATCTGTTTAAAGGAAGATGAAGTTACATAATTATTGTCACGCTTGTCACAGAAGGTTTCCCGTCCGTCTTCTATTACTTTCCTCTGTGGTCTTAAGTTCACTAAATATGGTTGTTTCGCTGTCACGCCATCAAAAGGTAGACACCAGAAGGTGTATAGATGCTTTACACAGTGGCGTCATCAAATTGTAAAGTCAAAATAGCGAAGTTTTACGAATTCTTTTTTACACTGGGTTGAAGATAAAGAAAAAGTAAATCTTTGTACAAGTTTCCATTCCCGTAGCACGTTTCATTTCGAAAATTCAGCAATTCGAACTTCCAAGTTTTCACAGTGCGTGACACCAAAATAGGAATGTTGTCTCGTTGAAAAAAAGTCTCTCCTCTTGATTTTCAGCAGTATAACCGTTTCAAGTATTAGAAGATATGTTTATGCGCACGTATGCTAGTTCTCGAGTGAGAAGAAAGAACTTTTATAGAAAAAGTGAACTCCAGATGTTTTTGTTGATTTCCGGCGGCCATATTGGTGCACCAAAACGGTACACCAATATGGCGTCTCCCTACAAAGCTCTACAAAGATGCGTGAAACGTTTCGGCAAATAACTCAGAAACTGTGGGCCACAAAGACCTGAGACTGGGACAAATTGTTTATATATTAGTCTTTTATAACATTCATTTTCTTGGCTTCTTCCACTTGACGGTTTCCAATTTATTTTTTTTGGTGCGTGACAGTGAAAACGATCTATACTGGGCTGCCATAAAACCTAGACTAGATAGAAATTATGTATTGTAATATATGGATTTAGCCAGGGCTAAAAGCGAAGCTCTCAGTTAATAATACTTATAACCAAAAAAATAAATAAATAAATCTTGTAATGCTAGACGGGGACCGCATTGAAAATGACATCAAGATCAACAGGTCAATCGGCTCCTGATAGATCTAATTAGCAAAAAAACAAATTTGCACGTGCAGCAAACTTTTTTTTTGTAATTAGCAAAAAAAAGCAAATTTGCACATGCAGCACGCTTTTTTTGTCTTTCTTTGCCGTTGTTTTGCACGACTATAATGCCGTTTTGCACCACTAAAACTTCAAACTTCCTAGTTTTACCAAAGATTTTGTTTCCTGTGTTCATATTCGCTTT